CCCTGCACCTATAGCACCATTTTTCATTTCAGTATGAAAACCATCCATTTTTGTCCTACACGAAGAAGCATGTAAAAATTAGACTTAAACGAGTTATTGATATTAATGAGTATTCTTTTTAAAGATTTAATGTTTTTTAAATAACATATCTAATAAGTTCAAATATATATTATATGATTTATAGTATTGGAAAATTATATCTTACAATAACAACTAATTTAAAAATTAAAAATAATTATTTATTATATTGATTAAGATACATACTATTTTATAAACTAAAAAATATTACTCTTTAAAATGGTTTCTATTTAAATAAAATTTATAAATAATTTATGAATTGAAATCTAAATTAGTCTCTAACATTGTCAGGATTTAAAATTAAAAGTTAATTTAGATTTTGATTTATAAATCAATCATAAATTTTTATTAATAATAAAAATTAGTTTAGATATTAATAATTTTTAGTTTATAAAATAATATTTAACTTAATTAATGGAATAAATATTTTATTTCTAAATTAGTTATTNCAAACTCCCTTTACCTACAGTTCAGAAAATTGGAATCTCTCTTTCTTCTACAACTGTACCACAGAACCCATAGATTACCCCACTTACCAAGTAGATTGTGCTAAAAATGCTTCACTTTATTCTTTTGCGGTTTTTCATAAGGAGGCACTACAGAACAAAAACTATTCCTTGGATGAGTGTCAGCTTATGGTTAATGCGCCATTTATCATGAATGCTTCTGTTAATTTCACTGGCTTATTGAGAATGAATTACATCGAGATTTTGAAGATGGGGTTTCTTTTGAATTGGACTGCACTTGATTGCAAGTACTGTGAGAAAAGTGGTGGACGTTGTGGATTTGATGGCAATCAGTTTCTCTGTTTCTGCAAGGATAAGTCCTACTTAAGAAGTTGTGGTAGTGGTAATAATATATTTTGAAATATTGATCATTTTTGTTGTTGTTTATTCAGATCCCTGTGACGCTTCTATTCCTTTCATGTTTTGTTTCCCCATTTCCCTCTTTTGGGTACAGATGCAATTTCAATCCTACAATGCCATTTCAGAATATGCTAGCCAAATTAGAATACCAGAACTTTGGCTAAGTATCTTCATGGATCAGATGATGATGGTTCCACAATATATTTATGTATTTGGTTTACATAAATGTGTCTGGCCACACTAATAGCCACGATAACTATTTGTGTGGTGGACACAGTAATCAAATCAGCCGTGCAATTCTTTTGATATAATTATTAACTGTCTCATGAAAAGGTTCAGCTAGGTATAATCTTTTCATTGTCTCGATGTGAAGATATCTTTATCAGTTGTCATGCATTATATGCTTATCATCAAAATATGCAGAACTATAGTGAAATTGAGCATTCTTTATACTTGGACTTTAAGAAAACGGACCAAATTTTATACTCTGTTAGAAACTAGTCATCATAAATTTGAACCGGAAAACAAGTATAGTATGGCTAACTTCTAAGTTGTCTGATACCAGTACAGCTTACACTTATTGGTAATTCCCATTTTGCCTCATAAGGATGTCATGCCATTTTATCATGCCATAACCCTTAGCGCGTACTTTCTTCTTGACGCATTTGGTGAAATTGTATGTATGTGTCTGTGTCTCTATGTTTACTATATTATCATCCTTCAATTGGGAGAATGTTAACCCTTCTTTGCTTTCCCTTCTATCTGTGGCAGGAGGAATAAATTGGAAAGTGAAAATCAGTATAGGTAACAAGTTCAGTTTTCTTTCATTTTTTTCTTTATTTTTCAGATTTATTTCATTAATAGTCATATAATAATTGCAAGTTGCTATGCTTTCTCTTTAGGTATTTGTTCTGGTGTAGTGGGAGCACTTATAGTGGGCATTTGCGTCTATATTTTTATTCGTAGAAGGAAGAACAGTTATGTAATGTCATATATACAATCTCGGAGCCTCTCTTCTGATCCATCTTCAAAAGACACGGAGAAGGGAAGTCACAGCTTCACTCAAAGCATTATACCTAGAGTTCATCTCTTCTCCTATGAAGAACTGGAAGAGGCCACGAATTACTTTGACCCATCTAAAGAACTAGGAGAAGGGGGCTTTGGGACAGTGTATTTTGGTAAGAACATGCAGCTTATACTGTATATCTGTCGTTTTTGTGCCTCGAATGAACATTAACAAAGGTTGCTGCCTTCTGATGTTTCTTGTCTAGGCAAACTGCGAGATGGGCGTTCTGTTGCAGTGAAGAGGTTGTACGAGAACAACTACAGGAGAGTTGCACAGTTCATGAATGAAATCAGAATCCTAACTGGTATAGCTCATCCAAATCTTGTGAAGTTATACGGATGCACCTCTCGCCACAGTCGTGAACTTCTGCTTGTTTATGAGTACATTCCTAATGGAACTGTTGCAGACCATCTTCATGGTCAACGATCTAAACCTGGAACACTCCCCTGGCATATCAGAATGAATATTGCCGTGGAAACTGCAAGTGCACTGAAATTTCTTCATCTCAGAGATATCATCCACAGAGATGTTAAAACCAACAATATTCTTCTTGACAGCAACTTCCGTGTCAAAGTGGCAGATTTTGGACTCTCGCGTCTTTTCCCAGAACTTGTCACCCATGTTTCAACAGCTCCACAAGGGACTCCAGGTTATGTGGATCCAGAGTACCACGAGTGTTACCAGCTTACTAACAAAAGTGATGTCTATAGTTTTGGAGTGGTGCTGGTTGAACTGATATCATCCCTGCCTGCTGTTGACATCACAAGGCATAGACATGAAATCAATTTGGCCAACATGGCCATTAACAAGATTCACAATCAGACACTGCAAGAGCTTGTGGACCCAAACCTTGGTTTTGAATCAGATTTCAAGGTAAGGAAAATGATAAGTGGTGTGGCTGAGTTAGCATTTCAGTGCTTGCAGAGTTCCAAAGAGATGAGACCTTCAATGGAAGAAGTGTTGGAGACTCTGAAGGATATACAGAGTGATGGAAAGAGCAAAAGCCAGCCTGAGGTAATGGATATCTCAAGCACATCTGATGATGTTGTGTTGCTGAAGGATGATCCTCCTCCACCGTCACCTGATTCTAATGCTATAAGCAAGACAACAACACCAAATACTAGTGGATGAGAGGACCTTCTTTCTCACTTTCATCTGAATAACCTTGTCCAAATTTATGTCAGCAGAGTTAGTATCACACTGGCAGCATCCACCTGTTACAACCTTCATTTTGTCATCTTCTAATGAGGATAAGTTTTAAGATTGAGATGTAAATATAGATTGCAAAGCTGCTTTGGGTATGAAATTTCATCTTTTTTTAATAAATATAGCTATATATAATTAAATTGTTTTGGTTTAATTAAAAATGTATTCCCTGCACCTATAGCACCATTTTTCATTTCAGTATGAAAACCATCCATTTTTGTCCTACACGAAGAAGCATGTAAAAATTAGACTTAAACGAGTTATTGATATTAATGAGTATTCTTTTTAAAGATTTAATGTTTTTTAAATAACATATCTAATAAGTTCAAATATATATTATATGATTTATAGTATTGGAAAATTATATCTTACAATAACAACTAATTTAAAAATTAAAAATAATTATTTATTATATTGATTAAGATACATACTATTTTATAAACTAAAAAATATTACTCTTTAAAATGGTTTCTATTTAAATAAAATTTATAAATAATTTATGAATTGAAATCTAAATTAGTCTCTAACATTGTCAGGATTTAAAATTAAAAGTTAATTTAGATTTTGATTTATAAATCAATCATAAATTTTTATTAATAATAAAAATTAGTTTAGATATTAATAATTTTTAGTTTATAAAATAATATTTAACTTAATTAATGGAATAAATATTTTATTTCTAAATTAGTTATTATTTAATCATTTTATTGTAATAATATACTTCAATCATTTTTGTTATCTATTTAATATTCAATATTATATGATAAAAAAAAACCTCAATTACCAGGATAAAATAAATAAAGTAAGAAGTCAAGAAGAATTCAAAATCATTTCAAAGATAAATTAAAAGAGATAACACAATATTTGCAGTAAAATATACATAAACATCTTTTTCAGAAGTTTTTAGAATTAATTAGTTACTTAATTTGGAAAATAATTTATTAAGCATTCAAAATAAAAATGAATAATCTATTAAATATCTAAAATTTATTTAAGTTTAAAAATTAATCAATTACTTAGGATGCTTGTCTCCAAGAATTTCAAAGTTGAATCCTATACAAGTTAAAAAAAATTCATTGTCAGCTGTTTCATCTAAACATTTCAAACCACTAACGACATGTAAAATATGAAGAAATTCAAAAAAATTAAAATTAAAATTCTAAAAATTGTTTGGGACACTCCTCACACCCTTTCTGTATCAACTTCCTAGTTGCCTGAAGCAAGTGTTAGGTGGTGATGAAACTAAGGCATAGAGTAAGATTCTAGTTTCTTTGCATATCTGTTATTTTGAAATTCTAGTTTTACACATGTAGATCAGTGTAATAAAACTAACCCTAATGTAGGATATTGTTTATATATTTTTGGTGTTATGTTTATGCTTGGATAATTGTAATATGTCTTATTTTAAGTAATTGTTTTCTTATTATTGGATATGTAATTTTTTTTAGTGTTAAAACTATTAAAATGGGATGTTAGAAAACATATTGATTACGAAGAAAAAGAACTAAATGGATAAAGACAAATATAATTCATCAGATGAAAAGAGAAGTTGAAATAATTCTCGGCAGTTGCCTAGTATTGTCCTCCTTCTCCCCATAAATCCCATTACAACTTTGGAGCCATCTTTAGTTTCACTAGCTTCTGTGGTTTTCACTTTTCAGCTATATCTTTGTTAAGTTGTTATTGTGTTAGAGCCTTATCAGTTATCCACTTCAATTTAGCTTGTTAAGAGAAATTTATCATTAACAATATTTGGTCTAGCTTCAGCAATCATTTAGTGGCAATTTAACAAACACATGAGATGCATTTGCTTTCCAGAATAGTACTAAACAAATGAGTTGAGCGATCCTCCTTTTACATTATAACTAGAAAGATTTTACCAAAATGCAATAATACCAATTTCAGGAGGAATATTATGTTTCTGATCTAGAAGGAGAAGAAAACAAAGGCTTTGGAGGCATTTCCAAAGAATTCATGTTACCTTCCAACATTTCTACCACTCTGCTCATTGTAGGTCTATCACTTGGAAGTGATTGAATGCACCATAAGCCAACTACAGTCATTCTCTTTGCAATCTCATCTTCTTCTGCATTCATCACTTCATATGGTCTCACATCATTATCCACATCAAGTCTTCTGTATGCAAAATGTGGGAAGTATATCTCACTCGTATGACTAGCTTCAGGATTAATGTTCTTCCTTCCTCCTACCATTTCCAGTAGCATCATTCCATAACTGTACACATCAGACTTTTGTGAAACTCCACCAAAATGTCTATTGACCATTTCAGGAGCATAATACCCCATTGTTCCTCTTTTATCAGACATAGAAATAATGCTTTCATTCCTGGGACACAGCTTTGCTAGTCCAAAATCTGATATTTTAGGACAAAATTTCTCGTCCAAAAGAATATTATGTGGCTTTATGTCAAAATGTAAAATTTTAGTGTTGCAGCCTCTGTGCAAGTACTCCAACCCTCTAGCTATTCCTATGGCAATTTGATATAAATTCTCCCAGGTCAAAGATACAATATTTTCTGGCCCTCTGTTGTAGATGAACTTATCCAAAGAACCATTAGCCATAAACTCATAGATGAGAGCCTTTTTTGAGCCTTCCAAACAAAATCCAACAAGTGTGACTATATTAACATGAGATGTTCTACTGATGCTGGCAACCTCATTGATGAACTCTTCACCATTTCTTTTGGATGCTTTCAGTAACTTTACGGCCACAGGGCTACCTGTTTGTAGTTTTCCTTCGTATACTGTACCAAAACCACCTTGACCAAGTTTAACTTTGAATGAATTGGTCATTTTTTTCACTTCTGAAAATTTGTATCTTTTCTGTGCTATGGCTCCATGATTTCTTANAAACCACCTTGACCAAGTTTAACTTTGAATGAATTGGTCATTTTTTTCACTTCTGAAAATTTGTATCTTTTCTGTGCTATGGCTCCATGATTTCTTAGGAATGCTTCAATATTTGAATCATGGTTTCTGGTAAAACGAAATTTGACCAGTCGGGTTAAAGACTTACGTCTAAAACAACAAAATATGAAGACACATCCTCCAATTACAACACCTGTTAAGAAATATAAGATATTAAGAAACCATAGATATGATTTTATAACATGCAGATCTTTTCTGTGAAACTTAAAGTTATGTTTGTTATAAAATGCCTTCTAAACCTCCACCATATGCTCTGTTTTGATTGCTTGAAGAGGTTGAATGGTGAAACTGTTAGACTTAATGATTGTGTACTACTCACAATAACTTACTGTTACATAATCCATCTAGATTTTTAGTTTAAACTTTAGGTGAAATTGTTGCATATATTAGAGAAAATATTGTTTGCATTATTAATTACTTTTTAAGAGTTAAAATATGGGTAAGATATGTTTGATAAAGAAACAAATGATACTCTCTTATCAATATTCATTCATTGGCAACCATTATTAATGAATTAAATGGTTAAAAAATATTTTATCTTCCCCACACTCTTAGCCAATGTATGTCTTTTTGTTATAATAAAGTAACCCTTTATTTTGTTAAAAACCTAGTCTTCCATGAATGGACAAAGAAATTGATTATTACATTGTTTGAGATGAAATTTTTAATGAAACCAACTTATATGTAATAACCTATACACAATTAACTGATACTTTATTCAAATTCTTGGTAAATCACATTTTCTTTTCTTAATGATCAAGTTGGACACCTATTATTTTTGTGCACTAATTTATTTAGGAGTGATATATAATTGTTATATATTTGATCTACAGGCAAAATCTAAGAAAAATCTTTTTGATATTGATTTAGAAGTGTATTAGCATTTTTTTTGGCTTGGAGTAAATATAGAAAACAACTCTTGTATATAAACTAATGCAAAATTATTGTAGATTCCTTGTCATTTAGATATATAATAAAAATATTAATGATTAAAAACTAGTTTACTGTATATTTGATTGGCAAATGGGTTAAAGATTTATCAAGAATGTAACTGATAAAATAAAGAAATAGAAGATATAAAAGGATAATGAATCTATTACCTACAATAATTATAATTATAATTATAATTATCCAATTGACCTGGTCGTTATGTGAGCTATATGTGCCATCTGCAACAATATGTAGTAAAAATAAAAAAGAGCTTAGTGATAATAAAAAACAGTTCTTAAACTGTTGTAATGAGTCTTTTTGGAAGGTTATATGAGGAAAACATCATATTTTACAGCAATCATGACCATAATGAAGATAAATATTACTCATAATTACAATCATAAATCTTGTAAGTTTCACAATATTTAAAATATTTAAGTAAATTAAATTTAAATTTATCTCATCTCAAATTATTTCATAATATTGATAATGTTTCTTTAATCAAACTTGATTGATATTATTTTTTAATTAAATTTTATTAAAAAAATCTATTTTTTTTTCAATTAATTTTAACTAAAATTATTTTCAGTTAATTGTTGTAAATTGATACTTTCATTTTTCAATTTCTATTTTTATAATAATTTGAATACTCTCATAATAGATAATTCAAGTTAATTCATTTTAATTATATAATAATAAATATATATAATAAAATAAATAGATCAAAGTATCCTTAATGAATCATCTACTTATCAAGTCGAGCTAAAAAAAGTGAGCCAAAGTTAAAATAAACTAACTCATGAATTGCACTCACCCAATTTAACACTACAATAATATATTGATTTATCGCTTTTGTCAGTCAAGTTGACATTATAATAATATTGATTGAGTTTACGGGAGAATAAAAAACTAAATGACACAAATTTGAGAATACAAATTGTTTTGAATTCTTAATATTTTTTTAAAAATGAATTATAAAGTTACTTAATTTTAATTCGTTCAACTACTACCCTAAAATTCTATAATTTAATTTTTTTTAAACTTATTAATAAAAATGAACCTATTTTCTTATGAAACATTTCAAATTCCTTTAAAAATTATATTTCTTTCCCTCCCACAATGAATTCATTTTAATCATAACATTTACTTAAAAGGTAATGTTATCGTTGAGAGCTTTAATTATCTAAATTAGAAGAAAGAATGATAAAATATACCTGAATCTGGCGCTGGCGCTGGTGCCGATCCTGGTAGTAAAGAAATTGATCGTGATCGTCGTGTATGTGGTGGTGATGATTGCAGCGGTGACCGTAGTGGCGGTGACCGTGGCGGCGGTGACTTTAAATCTGGTGTCGACACGGGCGATATGAATCCCTGCGATGTTACGTAGTTGATAATAACACAAGCTCGACTATCGTTGCAATCTGTTTAGCAGTATTTGCTTCAAAACTATTAATACAGCATGCAATGCAATTTTGTTCTGCGAATAATTATTGAAGATATACATATAAATATATTTAGAAAATAGACGACAAAAAAAAAGAGAGATGGTAATTTAATAACTCAGATTAGTCATTGATTTTTTTCTAATAAAATTGTTTTATTGATAGAAGTCCAAGTCTAAAAGATCAATTTAAATTATATAAATAAATGTTAATATTATTTTATTTTTAGTTTTATAGGTTAATTATAGTTTTGTTTTTATAATAATACGATTTAAGATCTCGATATCGTTAAGTTTTAATATATAAAAAATGTGTGAATAAGTTCTCATACTTAATGATATTAATTAAGTACTTTTAACCTTACAAACTGTAAGTTATATTAATAATATTAATTTTAAAAAATAAATACTTCCATACAAAAAGTTACCAAAAAGTTTATATATAAAAACATTGTTAAATATTAATATGCATTAAATATGATTTTTGTTTTTAAATTATTATAAAATATTATATTTTATTTTTAAATTAAATTANAATGTCTATTGACCATTTCAGGAGCATAATACCCCATTGTTCCTCTTTTATCAGACATAGAAATAATGCTTTCATTCCTGGGACACAGCTTTGCTAGTCCAAAATCTGATATTTTAGGACAAAAATTCTCGTCCAAAAGAATATTATGTGGCTTTATGTCAAAATGTAAAATTTTAGTGTTGCAGCCTCTGTGCAAGTACTCCAACCCTCTAGCTATTCCTATGGCAATTTGATATAAATTCTCCCAGGTCAAAGATACAATATTTTCTGGCCCTCTGTTGTAGATGAACTTATCCAAAGAACCATTAGCCATAAACTCATAGATGAGAGCCTTTTTAGAGCCTTCCAAACAAAATCCAACAAGTGTGACAATATTAACATGAGATGTTCTACTGATGCTGGCAACCTCATTGATGAACTCTTCACCATTTCTTTTGGATGCTTTCAGTAACTTTACGGCCACAGGGCTACCTGTTAGTAGTTTTCCTTCGTATACTGTACCAAAACCACCTTGACCAAGTTTAACTTTGAATGAATTGGTCATTTTTTTCACTTCTGAAAATTTGTATCTTTTCTGTGCTATGGCTCCATGATTTCTTAGGAATGCTTCAATATTTGAATCATGGTTTCTGGTAAAACGAAATTTGACCAGTCGGGTTAAAGACTTACGTCTAAAACAACAAAATATGAAGACACATCCTCCAATTACAACACCTGTTAAGAAATATAAGATATTAAGAAACCATAGATATGATTTTATAACATGCAGATCTTTTCTGTGAAACTTAAAGTTATGTTTGTTATAAAATGCCTTCTAAACCTCCACCATATGCTCTGTTTTGATTGCTTGAAGAGGTTGAATGGTGAAACTGTTAGACTTAATGATTGTGTACTACTCACAATAACTTACTGTTACATAATCCATCTAGATTTTTAGTTTAAACTTTAGGTGAAATTGTTGCATATATTAGAGAAAATATTGTTTGCATTATTAATTACTTTTTAAGAGTTAAAATATGGGTAAGATATGTTTGATAAAGAAACAAATGATACTCTCTTATCAATATTCATTCATTGGCAACCATTATTAATGAATTAAATGGTTAAAAAATATTTTATCTTCCCCACACTCTTAGCCAATGTATGTCTTTTTGTTATAATAAAGTAACCCTTTATTTTGTTAAAAACCTAGTCTTCCATGAATGGACAAAGAAATTGATTATTACATTGTTTGAGATGAAATTTTTAATGAAACCAACTTATATGTAATAACCTATACACAATTAACTGATACTTTATTCAAATTCTTGGTAAATCACATTTTCTTTTCTTAATGATCAAGTTGGACACCTATTATTTTTGTGCACTAATTTATTTAGGAGTGATATATAATTGTTATATATTTGATCTACAGGCAAAATCTAAGAAAAATCTTTTTGATATTGATTTAGAAGTGTATTAGCATTTTTTTTGGCTTGGAGTAAATATAGAAAACAACTCTTGTATATAAACTAATGCAAAATTATTGTAGATTCCTTGTCATTTAGATATATAATAAAAATATTAATGATTAAAAACTAGTTTACTGTATATTTGATTGGCAAATGGGTTAAAGATTTATCAAGAATGTAACTGATAAAATAAAGAAATAGAAGATATAAAAGGATAATGAATCTATTACCTACAATAATTATAATTATAATTATAATTATCCAATTGACCTGGTCGTTATGTGAGCTATATGTGCCATCTGCAACAATATGTAGTAAAAATAAAAAAGAGCTTAGTGATAATAAAAAACAGTTCTTAAACTGTTGTAATGAGTCTTTTTGGAAGGTTATATGAGGAAAACATCATATTTTACAGCAATCATGACCATAATGAAGATAAATATTACTCATAATTACAATCATAAATCTTGTAAGTTTCACAATATTTAAAATATTTAAGTAAATTAAATTTAAATTTATCTCATCTCAAATTATTTCATAATATTGATAATGTTTCTTTAATCAAACTTGATTGATATTATTTTTTAATTAAATTTTATTAAAAAAATCTATTTTTTTTTCAATTAATTTTAACTAAAATTATTTTCAGTTAATTGTTGTAAATTGATACTTTCATTTTTCAATTTCTATTTTTATAATAATTTGAATACTCTCATAATAGATAATTCAAGTTAATTCATTTTAATTATATAATAATAAATATATATAATAAAATAAATAGATCAAAGTATCCTTAATGAATCATCTACTTATCAAGTCGAGCTAAAAAAAGTGAGCCAAAGTTAAAATAAACTAACTCATGAATTGCACTCACCCAATTTAACACTACAATAATATATTGATTTATCGCTTTTGTCAGTCAAGTTGACATTATAATAATATTGATTGAGTTTACGGGAGAATAAAAAACTAAATGACACAAATTTGAGAATACAAATTGTTTTGAATTCTTAATATTTTTTTAAAAATGAATTATAAAGTTACTTAATTTTAATTCGTTCAACTACTACCCTAAAATTCTATAATTTAATTTTTTTTAAACTTATTAATAAAAATGAACCTATTTTCTTATGAAACATTTCAAATTCCTTTAAAAATTATATTTCTTTCCCTCCCACAATGAATTCATTTTAATCATAACATTTACTTAAAAGGTAATGTTATCGTTGAGAGCTTTAATTATCTAAATTAGAAGAGAGAATGATAAAATATACCTGAATCTGGCGCTGGCGCTGGTGCCGATCCTGGTAGTAAAGAAATTGATCGTGATCGTCGTGTATGTGGTGGTGATGATTGCAGCGGTGACCGTAGTGGCGGTGACCGTGGTGGCGGTGACTTTAAATCTGGTGTCGACACGGGCGATATGAATCCCTGCGATGTTGCGTTGTTGATAATAACACAAGCTCGACTACCGTTGCAATCTGTTTAGCAGTATTTGCTTCAAAACTATTAATACAGCATGCAATGCAATTTTCTTCTGCGAATAATTATTGAAGATATACATATAAATATATTTAGAAAATAGACGACAAAAAAAAAAGAGAGATGGTAATTTAATAACTCAGATTAGTCATTGATTTTTTCTAATAAAATTGTTTTAATGATAGAAGTCCAAGTCTAAAAATAAGATCAATTTAAATTATATAAATAAATGTTAATATTATTTTATTTTTAGTTTTATAGGTTAATTATAGTTTTGTTTTATAATAATACGATTTAAGATCTCGATATCGTTAAGTTTTTATATATAAAAAATGTGTGAATAAGTTCTCATACTTAATGATATTAAGTACTTTTAACCTTACAAACTGTAAGTTATATTAATAATATTAATTTTAAAAAATAAATACTTCCATACAAAAAGTTACCAAAAAGTTTATATATAAAAACATTGTTAAATATTAATATGCATTAAATATGATTTTTGTTTTTAAATTATTATAAAATATTATATTTTATTTTTAAATTAAATTACAAAAAATTTACTTTCTATAGTTTATAAAGATTAATGTAAAATATTTTTTAACAAACAATAACTTATAAAAACTAAATATATTATAATTTAATTTAAAAATCATAATATTTTATAATAATTTAATAACATATTTAATCTTATTATGTATTGTTGACAGAATATTAATAAAAATAAAATGAATATGAGTGGAAGAAGACTTACTCTGGTGAGTAGCAACAGTCCCGTTAATAACACTAGTTTCTGCCAGACTCCTGTGGGGGCTGCTGCAATCTGTATACAATTTTAAAAGAAATTCTAAACTATTTTAATAAATATTTAAATTCTAATTCAAAAGCTTTGTTCTTCTCTCTGTAACATTTTTAAAGGTCATTATCATATGTTTTTTTAGACAAAATAAAATTGCCCCCTACTATCATCTTTAAAACTATTCAAACAGTAAAGTATCCTCCTATAACAGTATAGAAAATTATATTTTTGATGTGACAGTGTATTTTAAATATTAAATTTAGTTATTTTAATATTTAAATATAAATAAAAATTTTATAAATAAGTTTTATTATCTAAAATTATGTTATTATTCTAAATTTTCTTTCTTCAAAACTAAAATTTAGTTATTTTATAAATAAGCTTTAATTTATCAAAATTTAGTCTTTACGTTTTTTTTTAATGTGGATGATTTAAGCTTGCATGTGGGGTTTGAGTTTTTTATAAGATTCTCAAATGATTAGTAGTCTTAATGATGTGTCTTGATCATATTTTTGTTGAATAGATAGAGTTTTTTGTGCTTCTGAAACTATTTTAGGATCTCTATTTGGTTATTTGTTAGGTAAGGAAATTTTTTTACTTTGTTTTAATGCTTTAAGAATTTGAGTATGCATATTTGTCTTGTTTGATATTGATTGAATTAATTTATGATATTGATGGTTGAATTAATATGTAATTTGTGTGTGATACATGATTGAGTGTTCTTTGAATTGGTGTTGAGTTGATGAATTGAGAATCTGACAATTTGAGTAAGTTGATATGCACTATAACATTTAAAACTGTTTTTGAATCAAACACTAAGTTAGAAATACCAATTTGATCTTTTTAATAGGTTCCTAGTTCCCTAATCACACATTTGAGTTGACTTTTTTATGATATGACGTTGAAAGACACTAGTGTGGTACTGAACGCAAGCTTGGTTATGCAAGTCTAGAAGCAATTTTGTTCCAGACCACTAAGTGCTCACTTTCTCATTGAGCGACCATTTTTGCAAATGGTCTGGTGTTGACCGATGACAAGATACCACTGGGCGTCACTTCTCACTATAGGGCTCGAACCAATTTAAGTTCATTTCATTTAGTGACAAAATGATCTCATTGAGCAAGCCATTTTACAAGAAGAATGACGTTAAGCGTCATTCTTGCAAATGAATGCTAGTTTTGAATTCTGATTTTTGGTGGAGTTTCTTGATAATTTGGTATTACTTTGTATTATTTTTTATTACTACTGGTAAGTATAATGATTGTATGAATAAATATATGATATCTTTGATATGATTATGTGTGATTTGGATATTGAGAGAATTTCAAGAAGAAATTTTATGCTTTGAAAAGTTGTCAGTGTATGTTTGACAAATCAGACTCTAGAATGAGATATCGTGATATTCTACCAATCATTCAATTCATGTAGACATAAATGGAGTGGGGAAATGAATGACAAAGAATGATAGGAGATCTTTGCCCTAAACTTTTAATCTTAAGCATGAAAGAATAACCTCGTGAGCAGTAGAGTGATGACCTCATATTTATGATTCCTGAGTAGTAAAGTAATAACCTCGTGTTTATGATTCTACAAAATACAAAATACTACTACGAGTACACATCTTGAGTAAAGTTCTATATCAAAATATGTATCTGAATAATTAAGTATAAAATCACCTGTATAGTATTTAAAATATATATATATATATATATATATATATATAAACTATTTTATTAAATATTCAAATTCAAATTCTAAAATTTCGTTATTGTCTCTCAATTTTAAAGGTAATTAATTATTAGCTTTTTAGATAAAATAAAATGGCCAGCTATCATCTTTTAAACTATTCAAATAGTAAAGTCCCGAAGTTTTGCATCAGAATTAGTTTTTCATGGTATTAAGAGCCACGAAGAGAACAAAAAATTGTGCTTAAAAGGTTTGTTTATTTATTAAAATGAAATAAAGAGTTTATTTTA